GCATTTTTGATGAGTTCTGCTTTATAATACAGTTTAAGATCTAGAATTGCTAGGCCACCTTTCCCCTGCATTTCTTTTCATTAGTTCCTTTGATATTCTGGACCTTTTTTTTCCAAATGAATCTTGTTATTATTTTTTCTAACTCTATAAAATAATTTTTTGGTAGTTTGATTGGTATGGCACTGAATAAGTAAATTAGCTTAGGTAGGATTGTCATTTTTATTATATTAGCTCGGCCTACCCATGAGCAACTGATGTTTTTCCAATTATTTAGATCTGATTTTATTTGTGTGAAAAGTGTTTTGTAATTGTGTTCATAGAGTTCCTGGGTTTGTTTCGAGTAGACTCCTAAATATTTTATAATGTCTACATAAGTTTAAATGGATTTCTCTTTCTATCTCTTGCTGTTGGGCTTTGTTGGTAATATATAGAAATGCTGATGATTTATGTGGGTTTATTTTATAGCCTGCAACTTTGCTAAAGTTTTTATTATTTCAAGTAGTTTTTTACTTGATTCTCTAGGATTCTCTAAGTATATCATCATGTCATCTGCAAAGAGTGATAGCTTTGTTTCTTCTTTGCCTATTCTAATACCTTCAATTTCTTTTTCTTCTCTTATTGCTAAAGCTAACTTTTCCAGTACAATATTGAATAACAGTGGTGATAATGGACATCCTTGTTTCACCCCCAATCTTATTGGAAATGCTTCTAGCCTGTCCCCATTACATATAATGCTTGCTGAAGGTTTTAGATAGATGCTATTTATTATTTTAAGGAAGACTCCATTTATACCTATGCTTTCTAGTGTTTTTAATAGGAATGGGTGTTGTATTTTGTCAAAAGCTTTTTCTACATCTATTGAGATGATCATGTGGTTTCTGTTGGTTTTGATGTTGATATGCTCAATGATGCTGATAGTTTTCCTAATACTGAACAAACCCTGCATTCCTGGTATAAATCCTACCTGGCATGTGACTGTTTTGAAGAACAACATTCTTCTGCATAGGTGAATTCTGCTATGTTTGCTTTAAAATTCAAGAAATCTCATTACCCATTTTATGGGTAGAGATTATATAAATTAGGAGAAAAGTAATTTGAATGTGAATTATTTCTTTTGGTTTGTTTGTGGTAAAGTTTACTTTTCCCCCTCAGTTTGGCTTATGCTATTATTTAATTAAATCAACTTTAATACCTTTCCTGTTTCTGTAAACAATAGTCAAATTCCTTTAAATAGTATTTGGTCAAAGTGGCAGAATTTAGAGTGAATTAAATCTGATGTTCATGATATTTTTACTGGTAACTGAGATACACTGTATTTAAACTTATTTTGCTTAATGTAATTTCAGTAAATCTTAACATCTGCCTTATATGGCTCTGTGATTTAACTTCACTATGCATTCTGAAGGATGCAGATAATCAGATAGTGTATTTTTTTCAGTGAGTGAATGGTCTTCTTACCTTACTCTTACCTTTTCCTTCTTACTGTATTTTCATTGCTATGAAACAGATAAGACATGCTATTTCCAAGCATCTTTTCCACCTTATCCATTTATGAAACTCACTTCACAATTCCTTAAAAAAGACCATTTCCTCTCGGCAATTTATAGTCATTACTCTTAGCTGTGGTCACTGGTGTTGTGTGCTGGGGCCTCAGGTGCAGGTAGCTGGAGGCTGTAGTGGTCTGGCAGCTTACCTGGTCCTGAGCTGGGGTCCTAGTGGTGGTGTCTGGCATATGCTGAGGTCAGGTGGGGTTTTTCTGCATTTCCTCAGGGCTACATTGAAGCATATAGAGGTCTGGCCATTGGAGGATGCCTGCCTGCCTGGGGTTGTGCTGGCACATGTGGGAGGTCCTGGTGTTGGCATTTGCCTGCTTTACCACCCTGGGGCTCAGGATCTCCCATAGGTTTGCTGAAGTGTTTGCTGCTGGCTTGCTGGGATGCCTCCTTTGTTTGACTGTGTTCTGCTTTTTACCTGAGTGAAATAGACCTTTCTAGGTGATATTCCTAGTGTCCTAGGATAAAAGACTGCTTCTCCCTCTTTTTCCATTGTCTGTGCTGTTCCAGGATTTTTCCTGAGGCACTATTTTCTGATTTGTTTTTTAGAGGTCAAAAAGTGTGAGTGAGAGCAATTTACTGCTTACTCTGACATCTTGGTTCACAGAAGTGTGTGTGTGTGTGTGTGTGTGTGTGTGTGTGTGTGTGTGTGTGTGTGTGTTTAAAAAAAGGTTTTCACATTTGAACACAGTATTCCATATGTGGCCTTTAGTGGGATCATCTCTTTCCTAGTTCTGTACATCATTCTTTTCTTTCTTTCTTTCTTTCTTTCTTTCTTTCTTTCTTTCTTTCTTTCTTTCTTTCTTTCTTTCTTTCTTTCTTTCTTTCTTTCTTTCTTTCTTTCTTTCTTTCTTTCTTTCTTTCTTTCGTCCTTCCTTCCTTCCTTCCTTCCTTCCTTCTTTTAGGCAATTGGGGTTAAGTGACTTGCCCAGGGTCACACAGCTACTAAGTTTTAAGTGAGTGGTCTGAGGCCGGATTTGAACTCAGGTCCTCCTAACTTCAGGGTCAGTGCTCTATCCACTGCACCACCTAGCTGCCCCCATTATTCTTTTCTTAATGCAGCCTAAATTCATAAAAAAAGAAAATTCACAGTCATATTATACTTTTCCTTTCTGTGAAGTTTGTAGTTCAGGTCTTATTATTATTAGTGTTATGTACCTCCAGGTCTTTAGATGAACTTCTTTTTAGCTATTACTTTGTTTGGGAAATTGATTTTTGAACCCTAGTTAAAGAGTTTGCAGCTCTGTGTATTAAGTTTTATCTTATTTGATTTGACCTAGGTGTGTAGCTGTTGGATTTTTAAAAAAAATTTGACTCTTATTATCCGTTAGCTGTTACTCTTTTAGCTTTTTATCATTTGCAAATTTAACAAACACATTATATGTAAGAATAGCAATAATGATAACAATAATGATGATAATAGCCAGCATTTGTATAGCAGCTTCTGTATAAAGCAGGCGCTATGCTTAGTGCTTGATTGTCACTTGATTGATTTGGACTTCCAAATCCACTTTTCCTGGGATAACCTAAAAAACACAATGCCTTGAGAGCTCTCTCTGAAAAGCAAAGTCTGTTCCACACATACAACCCCCCCCCCCCAAGTCGTGGACAACCTGGTTTCTCTTGTATTAGGGGACTCCACTGAAAGAGAGAAGAGTCTGGGATTGGAGCAGAGAAGTGTTGCTCGGGGAGCCAGAGACTGAGGATGGGAGGGGCACAAAGGACTCCTGCTGGTACCTTAGCCCAGTGCATGGACCCCCTGGGCATCCTGAGTCACTTTGTCTGGTCTTAATCCCACTTCTGACACAAATTAAACTGTCAACCAGAAATTAAAACTGCATGGGATATGGGTAATAACTTGATTTATTACAAAAGAAAGGTATGTGGGAACTCCTTATACTAAAGAGTTCACAATCCAAACAGAACCTTGCATATTTATGAAATTGCAACCTAGAGAGGAGGAGAGGACAGTAAGCTCCTCCTAAATGGGAATGGCATGGCAGGAGGAAAAAAGCAGCAAAGGTTGGGAAAGAATCCCATCCTGAGGGAGAGGAAAAAGACAGGGAAAAGGGAGGAGGAAACATGAATAAGTAAGATGATGAAAGCAGCATTCTTCCCTCTTGGGAAGTGCTGGATTATGAGAATAGGATGGTCTGCTTATCTGCAAGGGTCCCAGCTGCATAAATAGTTTCTCAGTCTTGTGCAGACTGACTGGCACCTATCTTTGTAGCTGGTTCAACTCCCAAGGATACAGAGGGAGTACAGCTATGGGTGCAAACAACAAATTATATCAGCTCAGGGGGGCCTTCATCCTAGATATATCCATACTTTGTGTCCAGTGTTTCTAGAAGTTATGGCAACTCAGAAGACAGAGGGCCCCTAATCACCATTTAGCCATAGTGTCCCTTGGTTCTTACTTATATGAGGTGATATTGTCAACTGTGGTTTAAAAAAAAAGTACCAGAGTTTTGATTAAATTGATTGATTACAAAATCATTTGGAAGATGGATCAGTGTCCTTAGATATTTGCCATATATTAGTCAGATGCATCATAAAATTTATGAAATCTTTTGTGGTTCAAGTCTAAACTTAGGTTAATATTAATATTAGCCAATTGATCTTGTTAAGATCAGAAAGATTCCTTATAATGTTTTGTCTGAAACCCTTCCATATATTGTTGTAGGAACTCAAAACCAATGCATTTGTGAAGGCCACAACCGGTTCTTAACTTTTTCACAAGGATCTGTTAATTTGTGCACATAACTTCTCCTGACTGTGTTCCCATCTATCATCTCTTCTTAGCTATATGTTTTAATCCCGTTAGCCTTAATGAGTCCTTTGGAAAGCTTTTCCATTTACAGTCTGACATTGACTTGCTTCTCCCCTTGGGGAAATTGCCTAAATTTTCTGTTTAGCTTTCATATCTTTTTGAAGAGAGATACTCTCACTAGTGCACGCAAATAAATTGAGATAATGTACTGAACGTGTCAAAAGAAAGGCAATATATAAATCTGAGTTGTTATTTGTTAAGAATATTTTCTGTTATTTAGCTATTTTTGTTTCATATAGCTGTTACATTATTCTTCCTTTACTTCTTTGTAGAAACATTACCTTTATCATTTTTTATCATCTTAGAGGTGTTTAAATACTGTGATCATATAACACAGATTTCTTTAGGCTGATTTTCTTCCTCGTTTCCTTTCCATTGTTTTTCTTTGCATTTTCTCTCCTTCATAGCCATGAATTATATTTAAGTGCAGCTTTGAAATTCTCGGGGTTAGGGGGAGGGTTTGAATTGTATGTAAAGAACAGAGGCCCCATATTTGTGTCATTCTGTTCTCAAAACCCCCATAGGAAACTACAGGCAGAGCTATGAGCAACTTAAATTAATTCTTCCTTGTGTCTACTTTTCTCAATTGTCTTTCCTTTTGGCCCTCCTTCTTATAGATAGAAAATCTTCAGGAGCAGCTTAGAGATAAGGAGAAACAGATGAGCAATTTGAAGGAGCGAGTTAAATCTCTACAAGCTGACACCACCAATACTGACACTGCATTGACTACTCTTGAAGAAGCCCTTTCAGAGAAGGTGAGTGGTAACCATGGCCCTTTTGCTGTGCTGTTATTTACCAGCTGTCTTTAGGGGTGGTATTTGGCGCTGAGTAATATTTTGAAAATAAAGGGGATTAAATAAGGGATAAGAATAGTGCTCGGGGTCAGTTTCATGATAATAGCTGGCATTGGAAAGAAGGCAAAAACTTATAAATCTTATTTTGCCTGGTTTTTTTGTTTGTTTACCAAGAAGAAAAATATGCTACTTGGAATATATGGGGGAAAATGAATAGTAGAAAATTAACTCAAGACAAGTAAGACCATAACTAGAGAGCACCTAGCTGTTCTTGATAAGTTTGGGTCACCAGACACAGCTGAACTGTATCCCTCATAAGAAGTAGCAGATGTGATTATTGAACTGTTTCTGTGATATTTTGAAAGATTGAAAGATAATTTGAAAGATATTTTGAAAGATTGAACGGAGAATAAGAGTTTTGTAACACTGGACAAAGGCAAATACTTTTTGCAGTATAAAAGAAGTGGAAGGGAAGAAGAGAGGCCAGTTTGTAAAACCGTAGTCTAATGAAGTTGACTTTGGTTCAAGGTAAGCTCAAATGAACTATTACAGGGATGGTTAGTCTCCTCTTTGTGTAAAGTTAGAGCATTTGATTAAAAAAAAAGTAATGGAGGGGGTGAAGAATAATTCATGAACATTTAGAAAAGGAAACAGTGATTACAAAGAGCTGGCTCTTTGTAGCCAGACTAATCTCATTCCCTTCTTGAACTAGACTGATTTCATCAACAGTGGGATAGTCAGTATAATGTTAAGTATATTCATAACTTGTTGAATGAATAGACCAAAGGAATAGTTGTTATTAGGCCATTGTGATCTTGATAATAATTCTTGAAGGAGAGTATCCTTGGCCCTACTTTGTTAAAATTTTTTAATCAATGATTTACAGAAAGGCCAAGAATATCAAACTTATAAGATTGGAGAGACACAAAGCTAAGGGGGCATAAATAACATATTAGATGAATTAGGTTCTTAAAATATCTTGGTAGGCTAGACATCTAATAAGATAATATTTAATAGAAGTTGTAAAATCATGGGTAAAAAAAGTCAATTTTACAAGTATTAGATTGGGGAAATTTGGCTAGATAACAATCTGTTTGAAAAGATTTCTGGGCTTAGTGGAATTCAGGTTCAGTATTCCAATGCAGGTTGGACTACATGACCTCTGAAGTGTCTTTTAAATCTAAGATTCTGTGGTTCTGTGAAATCCCAAATTATAATAGAAGAATATTCAGCACTCTCTTGCTGGCAAGTGTCTTATAGAAAGAGAGAAAATCCTTTTACACATTTCCAGTTTTAGCAACTGCCATTAGAAAAGACAAGTTTCATACCTGAAGTAAATTGCAAGATTTTCCAGGTAGCCAAATACTCTGCCACCAGTTCTGGGGATTTTTTTCCACTTTGGAATTTGATATACTTTAGCCATGTAGATTTTTAGAATATCATGGCAGTTGTTGTTGAGTTGTTTCTGTTGTGTCTGAGTCTTCGTGACCCGATTTGGAGTTTTCTTGGCAAAGATAACTAGAGTGGTTTGCCATTTCCTTCTTCAGCTCATTTTAGAGATGAGGAACTGAGGCAAACAGGGTTAAGTGACTTGCCCAGGGTCACATAGCTAGTAAGTGTCTGAGGCCACATTTGAACTCATGAAGATGAGTCTTTCTGATTTCAAGTCCAGTGCCCCCATCACATGGCATTGGAGTTCCTGAAATCTTTGTCTCTTGCTCCAGTAATTAGCTTCACTATGGGGTATTGCACAGTTAAGATTTAGGCTTCTCTTTCTATAGGTCTCCATGCTGCTTTCCCCGCTCTTCTCCCCTCCTACCCCACCATCTCTCCCAACTTGGTAAACTCTCCAGTAAGCTCTCTAGTACCTTTTGGATCAAATATAAAGTTCTTTGTTTGGCATTTAAAGCTTTTTACCACCTGGCTCTTTCTAACTTTTTCCTGTTCTCTATACTATTTCTCTCTGCATACCAAGAAGCTAGGAAGACTTGGATTCCAGTCTTACCTCAGACACAAGCTTCATGAGTTTGAGAAAATCACTTTCACCTTTAGCTTGAAAGGAGAGTCTGAGCCTGGGGGCAACCATGGCATTACCAGTCTACATTGGTTGTGACTCTTCTCCATTTTCTGACCTTATTTCTAGCCATATACCTTTGCCTGAGCCTGGAACAATTCTTCCCTAAAGACTGACCTAGTGATTGCTGATTCCCTTCCTGGAATCTCTATATCATGAGAAAGTCCAGACTCAGTCCTCACTCTACATTACCAGCCTGCTGTACTTCTACCCCTACTGCCTGGTGTGTTGGGGATGATGGTAGCATACATGAATTCATTCCTCAGTGATTAGCACACTGCCATGCTATCACAGACCCCTACCTTCTTCTCCCCCCCCCCAAGTCCCCTGGCTATTACTGTTCAAACCTCATTCTTTGTGCCACACTGCCTGCTCCCAAGTTCCCATTCCATTTAACTATTCTCCCTTTTATTCCACTCCCAGCAGTCCATTCAAGATCTCACCTCTTCTGCTGTGCTCTCTCAAATGCCTGCTCCATAGGTAACAAACTTATTGTCATCTTAAATCTTTTCCTTCCTCACTCCTTCAGTTTTCTTGCATTCAGAGAAACCTCTGATGACCCAGAGCTTGTTACACTTTTACTTCTTATAGTTTCTTCCTCCCTCTTAACCTTTCACTGGTCATGGTGGAGGAGTCAGAGTACTCCTTGGTCCCCATTACTGCTTCCTAGACTTACCCTCTACCACCATCACTTAATAACATGTCCTCCTTTGAGGTTCATTCAGTACATATTTATCACCTAATCAGGATTCCGGTAGATGTTGTTTACCACCCTCTGAGATATTCCCCTTTTTTCTTCAATGAATTCAGTGCTTAGCTCAGTCTTTTTTTCATTTCCCTAACTCTTGCCCTCGTTTTAGGGGACTTTAATGTGTATACGCGCACACGCGCATGCACACATACTCAATACACACATATATACATATGTATTCATGTATATGTATGTGTGTATATTTGTATATGTATATACATACAGACAGACAGACAGATGTGGTCATAAACTTGATTTTTCCATCATCCACAAGTCCTCTACTTACTTGCTCATGAGCTCTGAGATTCCTTTATCTGGTCATAATCTTTTGACATTCTCCTTTTTCTTTGCCTTATGACCGCTAACCTTCTATTCTATTCACTGTGACTTCTGAATCCTCAACTCCTCAGTACTTTCCCAGGTCATCATTCCTGTACTCCACATACTTTCCTCCCTTTCCTATCTTGACATTTTGGTGAGCTAGTTCAACTCTATCCTTTTCTCTTGACTCCACTGCCTTGTTATCCTGTGACTGATCTTGCCTTGCCAAGCTATAGCCTTAAATTACTCCTGCTATCTGATGCCTTCACTCCTATTCACATGCTACTGAATGAAGTTGGAGAAAATCATGAAACTGCATTGACTGGATTCACTACAAATTTATGTCACAAGTGCAGTGGATCTTCAGTGTAGTGAGGCTATCCTTATGCACTTAACTAAGCATTTCACTATGCTTTTATCCTTCTCAAACCTCTCATGGCTCTGTCTCTCCTTACCCTCTCAGTTCAGAATCTTGCCTCATATTTTACTGGAAAAATGGAAACCATTTGCTGAGAGCTTTTTCTTTTTCCCTCCTAATTTTATATACCCAGCTATCTTCTGTCATTATCATCTCCTTTACCTTAGTCTCATATGAAGATGAGGCTTTTCTCTTTGCTGAGGCAAACCCTTCTGTGTGCATAGGCGATACCATCCCATCCCATCTTCTCTAATAGCTTGCTTGTTCTGTCATCTCTACCCTCTTACTGTTTCCATCTCTTCTTGCCTATTGGCTACTTACCTATGTCTGTAGACATACTCGTGTCTTTTCCGTCTTCAAAAACCTACCCTTGATCCCTTTCACCTTTAGGTTTATTTATTTATTTTTTTAAAAACACTAGCTGTCCCCTGTACCTGCAGTACTCTGTCTCTTCCTTTAAAGCAGGCCTGCACAACATACAGGCTGTGAAAAGATTTCAGGTGTCCTGCGCAAAATGTAGAGGATGTAAAACAAGCCTGCAAAATATGCCGCCTGCAGGCTGCTTTGGCGGGCTGCAAGCGGCCCACAGGCCATATGTTGGGCAGACCTGCTTTAAAGCCTCTCAGAATTCCTTTCTTCCAGACTCAGCTCCTTCACTTTCTGAAGGAGGTCTTGCCCAGTACTCTCACATGCTGGTTGTCTCTGAGATGGGACTACCTTTCGTCTCTCCTCTGGCTGTATCTTTTGTGTACCTACTTATTTGCTTGTGGTCTTCCCCACTAGAAAAATGTCTCCTTGAGTGCAAGGATTGTTTTTACCTTTCCTTGTATTTGTACTGTGTAGCACAGTATTTAGCACATAGTAGATGCCTGATAAAGAGATGTTGACCAACTGATTGATAGGTATATTTCCTGTTCTGATCACTTGGAGCCCCTTCAATTAATCCCATGCCTTCCTGGTTACATCATTTTGATAATTCCTTTGCTTGCCTTACTTTTATCGTTTTTAATCAATTCTACTGTCTTTGTGTGTTTTTTAATTTAAAAAAATGACATACTTGTTAGCTTCATATTTTTAATCTAGTATATTTGAGATTGCATTATAATTTTCACAGTGTCTTTGTATACAAAGCTGTGTGTGTGGGTGGTTTGTGTGTTTGTGTGTGTGGGTGTGTTTTAAAGAATGACTATTTAAAGAAGTGGCTAAACCCATCCTGTGGCAGCTGGGAAATCTAGAACATCCCTGTGTGTTTTAGACTTGATTTTTTTCAAGGTTATGATCAGTATTCCCTGAATCTCCTGGACTCAGAACACTTTGGGCTGCCCATCAGGGATTAGGGTTTTGCTGCTTCCGTTTTCCAACTTGCCTGTTGTAAGCAAGTCATTTTAATAGTATCCTTTCTTCTTACCTAATTTTTATGTCGCATGCCTTATACATCATAAATTCTAAGATGTTTTTAGTATCTTTTAAATAACTGGGCTTGTGGATAACTGAGAAGGAAATGTTTGTTTCTTCTTGTTTGTCAGATACCTAGAAGCAGTTAAATGGTCTGGTGGGTGGAGCTCTGGGCCTGAAGTCAGGAAGACTCGAGTTTAGATGTGGCTTCAGATGCTCTCTATGACTCTGGGCAAGTCAGTTAACTTTTATTTGCCTCAGTTTCCTCAACTGCAAAATGGTGATATTAGTAAGTAGGTGCTTGAATAGAGGCTTGTTTATTTCCTCCTTTCCTTAATACCCTTAGCTGATATGGCCAATTTTATTTAGATTTTTTGTTACTTGAAGCATGAATTAATGGAGTTATGGCAAATGGATGTTTTAGTGATCTCTAGTACTAGCAGAAGTTGAAAAAAAAAAGAACCAGGATATTCATGAGGGCAAAGTCAGACCAACGTTGACAGTCTGTTGTCATAGTCATTATAGGGAGGATGGCTGCTTTAAAACAAAGGCAAAATAAAAAAAACCCCAAAATTTTTAAACCTGTTGTAGATGGAAAGAAAAAATATAATTTCTTTAGCCATAATCAGAATTGATAGCAATACCAAACGAAATCCTTAAGAGATTGTTGTGTTTTTTCCTTAGGAGAGGACAATTGAACGCCTGAAGGAGCAGCGGGACAGAGATGAGCGGGAGAAGCAAGAAGAGATTGACAACTATAAGAAAGACCTGAAGGATTTAAAGGAAAAAGTCAGCCTCTTGCAAGGGGACCTCTCTGAGAAAGAGGTTAATCTCATAAAAATTTATGTGCTTGATTTGACTTAAAGACCAGGGTGTGTGTGTGTGTGTGTGTGTGTGTGTGTGTGTTTACTGATGTTGTGAGTATGTATATTGCCATAGTTCTTTTTGGGGATAGTGAACATATAGAGAATAATTGGGAGAGTGAATCTAATCATAGTTTATGTAGCAAGCTTTCTGAAAAGCACTTGAAGCATTTTAGGAAGTTGTTCAGTGACTTAGCAGAGTATTACATATTTAAAATTCTTGGCTAACTCCGTGATGAACTTAAATTCTGCTAATTTATGCTATTTCTGTAGATCAACTCTTGAAGTTATTGGGACCTTATTAAATTTTAGGGTTATTGATAATGGTAAGGCAGAAGGAATGTGAAAATCAAGGAAGGATTTATTGACCTTCAACTCTATTCATGTTTCTTGTTATTGGCAGAGAAATCTGGAATTGTCATCAACCAACTTAATTTCCTTTTAGCATGCATTTGGAAATGCTCTTTCATGTGAAGTATGTGAGCTAAAGAGCAAAAATGGCCTAAAGCCATGTGAGCTGATAATACATGGGCTTTAGAGTTACCCTCTGAATGCTTATCCTTTGGAAATTTATAGAAACATAAATTTATAGCACAGCCTCATATAGTCTTTTCCATGTAAAAGTGAAAATACTGTCATATGATTGAGCTTATGCCTACTCAGGATTACTGGTAACAGAGCTTGACTTACAACTTTAAAACTGTAATTCTTTATATGACTAAATAACTTTCAGCTATTCTTAAATACCCTTTGACTTTAGGTTAGATTTAAGTTTAACATGGAGAAAAGCTGACTCTTCTAATGATCATTCTTTGCTTTTTAAATAAGAATACATTTGTATATACCCGTAGAGTCAAAATCAGAACACACAGACCATTTTGAGACGTCTGGCTATCATTTATATCATGTATCTGTTTTTTTTTAGGCTTCACTCTTGGACCTCAAGGAACATGCTTCTTCTCTGGCTTCCTCAGGACTGAAGAAGGATTCAAGGCTTAAGACACTAGAGATTGCTTTGGAGCAGAAGAAAGAAGAATGTTTGAAAATGGAATCACAATTGAAAAAGGTTAAAAAAAATGCCATGTGTTCTTGCCTTATTTACATTGTAGATAAGTTAGGAACCTCCATCACTATCAAGTGAAAAACATAGGAATGATTCCAGAGGTTTAAAATGTCGTATTCTTATACCTTATTCCTACAATATCTTAATGCTGGGTGTGTGCCTGTGTATGCATGTGTGCTCATGTGTGCATAGTGGGAAGGGAAAGGAAAAATAAAAGAAGGTGCAAAGCATGTATAATACTGTGTGCCATGCTCGTAGCTCTTTTCCTTCCTAATCTGTTACCTTACTGAAATTCAGGCCCTCCAAGGAGGAATGGAGTATAGTGGGAAGAACACTGGACAGATCAGGAGACCTGGTTTCTTGGATTTTATATTCATGGGCTATTTGCTGGACTTTTCTTGGCTTTGGTGTTCTTACTTTGAAAATGATGGGTGATCATTAGGTTATTTCTATTAATTCCATTCTATTAAGAAATCGTTGATTTTCGTATAGATATTTTAGCATAAAATAGAAAAATGGGCAATGTCTTATATAGTTTCTCTTGGTACGCAGGAACATTTGGTAGACCAGGCATAAAACAAATTTTCTTGATGATCAAGTTAATATTCGTTCTATTAGAACAGTTTTGTATATCCCACATTGCTTCCTTTTCTAATAGTTAAAATACCAGGGTCAGCGATCCTGGGTTTATAGAGTGTTGGACTTGGAATTAGAAAGACCTATGTTCTTATCCTGCCTCAAACACTTAATAACTTTATGATCTATGAGAATCACAGAATCTCAGTATTTGAGAGTTGGAAGAGACCTCATTGAGCACAGGACAAGGGAAGTTAATGTGGTTATGAAGTGGTAGAGCCAGGAATAGAAAGGAAAAATTTCCACTTTAGCTCTTTCCCAAATACGTAAGTCATCTGGCAGTATTATTGGTTTTAAAACTTCATATTCATGAAATGCTGGGAAGTCAAATTTCAAACCTAAGAAAATGAGCAAGTTATGTGTCCTAAGGTAACTTTTGAGTAGATAGAAACTATTCACTGAGCTTCATTCCTTAGGGATTTATTTAGTGATGCCTGATTTAGATCAATCAATAAGTATTTATTAAACACCACGATGTGTGAGGCACTGTTCTGAGTGCTGAGAATACAAAAAGAGAAAAAAGACAGTCCCTGCCATCAAAGAGCTAACAGTGTAATGGGGGAGACAACATGCAAATAAATATATGCAAAGCAAGCGATATATAGGATAAATAGGAAATAATTAACAGAGGGAAGGCACTGGAAGTATTGGGGAAGGCTTCCTGTAGAAAGTGGGGTTTTATTTGGGATTGAAAGGAAGCAAGGAAGGTAAGTAGTAAGAGTGGAAGAGGGAGAGTATTCCAGGCATGAGAGACAGATGGAATGTCTTGTTCCTGGAACAGCCAGAATGCCAAGGTCACTCTATCAAAGACTATGTGGTGGGGAGAGAGACAGACAGGATGTGAGAGTGAGGAAGGTGATGTGTGAGCCAGAATGCTGGACTCATTCGTAGATTTATCCTCTCCAAGCTAACCATTTGCATTCAACAAATATGGTGGCCCCAAGGCAAGACACCTACCACAAGACAATGTGAACAGATTATTGTGCTTTTTCAAGCATGAACAGTTCATTGCTAACTTGGAAAGAAAGTTGAGTCAACACATGATTGGCAACAGTGGAGCAGACAAGGATTGGGCAGCTTTCAGAGATTTGGTGTACAATACTGCATTTACTCATCTGGATGAGAACACTTGCAAACATCAAGATTGGTTTTATGAAAATGATTGAGAAATTCACGATCTGCTAAAAGAAAAACAAGAACTTTACAGGGTTTACCAACAGAACAGTTCATCCATGTCTAAGAAGGCAGCATTTAACTCCATCAAAAGTAAAGTGCAAGCAAATTTTAGAGAGATGCAGGATTCTTGGCTCAGTAAGAAGACAGATGAAATTCAGTTTGATGCTGATATTAATAATCCAAAGTGCTTTTATGATGCCCTGAAGATTATTTATGGTCCAAAGATCTATATTTCATCTCAACTACTCAGGGTTGATGGAGCCAGATTGATTAACGATAAGGACATGATCCTGGAGAGATGTGTTAACACTTCCATAGAATTCTCAACAGATCATCATCAATTAATGATGAAGCCACTGAAAGTACACCTCAGGTAGAAGTCAGCCCCTCTCTAGCCGAACTTCCAACTGAAGAAGAGGTTTTGAATGCTATCAGCCTCCTCTTGTATGGCAAAGTGCCTGGTGCTGATTCTATTCCAGCTGAGATTTATAAGGCCAGGGCTCAACTGCTCATACAGGTTATATGGCAAGAAGAAGTTATCCCCCAGGAGTTCAAGGATACCTCCCTCCATTGGCAGTCTCTATAAAGGAAAAGGAAATAGGTTGTTCTGTGACAATGACAGTGTGGTCTCTCTCTTAGTCATTGCTGAGAAGTTTCTTGCCAGAGTTCTTCTTAATAGGCTTCAGAAAGGACCAAGGAACAGTCAATGTGGTGTTTGCTGCCTGACAACTCCAGGAGGAATGCTGGGAACAGAACAGAGTTCTGTATACAACATTCATTGATTGGACCAAAGCCTTTGATATAGTTAGTCATGCGGACTTGTGGAAAATTATAGCAGTTCCATGACAACATGCTTGTACAGGTTCTAGATAATGGACAATCCTCTTGTGCTTTTTCAGTGACTAATGGAGGGAAGCAGGGTTGTATGCTTGCTCCCAAGCTTTTTGGAGTGATATTTTCAGTGATGCCTTCAGTCAGAATGGCATGGCATCAAAGTCAGCTACTCCTCGCTGACAGTAGACACCAAGGTGCTTTCTCGAGCTGAACTGCCAGGCATTCAAACTCAATTGCAGAGCACAACTCTGATGGGCTGACCATGTTATTTGAATGCCAAATGTACATCTCTCTCTCTCTCTCTCTCTGTGTCTATATCTGTCTATCTCTTTGTCTCTCTGTCTTTCTCTCTCTCCCCTTCTCTCCCTCCCTCTCTACACACATACACGCATTACATATATATTTTTTGAAATTTTTTATTTTTATTTTATATTTTATTTTTTCCTAATTATATGTAAAAACAATTTTTAACATTTGTTTTTTAAAATTTTTGAATTCCAAATTCTTTCCCTCTTATCCTTACTCTCTCCTTGAGAAGGCAAGCAGTTTGATATAGATTATACATGTTCAGTCATACAAAACATTTCCATATTAGCCATGTTTCAAAAGTAAACACAAACAACGCCCCCCCCAAAAAAAACCCCAAGAAAAATAGAGTAAATAAAAAAAAAAGTAAAAAAAACATGCTTCAATCTACATTTATACTTCATCAGTTCTTTCTCTGGGAGTGGATAGTATTTTTCATCATAAGTCCTTTGAAATTGTCTTGGATTGTTGTATTGCTGAGAACAGGCAAGTCATTCACAGTTGATCATCATACAATATTGCTGTTACTATGTACAATGTCCTCCTGCTTCTGCTCACTTTGCATCAATTCATCTAAGTCTTCCCAGGTTTTTCTGAAAGCTTCCTGCTCATCATCTCTTATATTCTCTTGTTTCTTATTTGCTTTTTTATGTTCCCTTTGAGTCTTGTATTTGGAGATCAAATTTTTTATTTAGCTGTGGTCTTTTAATTAGGAAAGCTTTAAAGTCCTTTATTTTGTTAAATGTCTTTTCTTTTTTTAACCCCCTGAAGGATTATATTGTTTTGCTGTGTAGATGATTCTTGATTGTTTAGAATCCTAACTCCTTTGCCTTCTAGAATATCATATTCCAACCCCTCTGATTCTTTAATGTAGAAGCTGCGAAATCCTGTATAATCCTACCTGTAGCTCCACGATATTTGAATTTTTTTTTCTGGCTGTGTGCCTTGACCTAAGAGCTCTAAAAGTTTTGAGATCTCTTTCAGGAAGTAATTGGTGAAAATTTTCGATTTCTAGTTTTTTCCATTTTGCTGTCTGGTTTCTAGGATATCAGCGCAGTTTTCTTTGATAATTTCTTAAAAGGAGTTATTTTAAAGTTGTTTGGTGGGGAATTTGGGAAAACTCAGGAGAGTCCCTACCTTTACTCCCTTACCTTGGCTCCGCTTCCACACAGTATATTTTAAAAATTGTTTTGACCATGTTTTTGCTACTTTTCTTCCTAAGAGAATATATTATTTTACCTTTATGGTATTTATTATATGAATTAAATGGAAATAATATGAATATATTTTTAATGTTGTCTAAAACTTTAAAGAGATTTCATGTATATTTATCTTTTCCAACCCAACAGTATTTGCCATGCAAATTTTCAATTTGAATTTATTGAATATTTTACTATTTGAAAGTAGGAAATAGATCATTTTAAGTTAGTGGCATATAAAAATCTTATTCTTTGTGTCTTGAGATTCTACATATTCTTCTATCTTGTTATTTTATGTGCTTATTATACTGTACTTAAACTGCTTGAAATGGGGTAAAAATTAAGGTTTTAGTAATTTTAGTTATTACACATGTGGAATATATTAAACTTTTATGTTTTCCTATGAGAAGCTTGAATCTTTTATGTTCTTGATTGATGTATTTGTTCAATATTTTCTCTAAATTCATTGTTTTATTCTTTATTTTCCTTCTCTTCACTGTAGCTATTCCTTATTCACTGTACTTGTTTCTTCTTCTCTTCTTTCCTGTTTTTTTCCTCTTCCTTTAGCACTCCGAAGTATTTCTGAGCTATTTCCACCTAGGCCAGGAAGTGATCTGGCAATCCAAGGCCAATGTAACACTGTTTGAATTATTTAAGTACTCCATGAATTCATGTACCTTCTTGCTATTTTAGAGCCAAGGGCATGTACTATGCTCTTTTAATCTCTTCTTTACTTTAATAGAAGGTATGTAGATTTGTTGGATGTCATCAAAATTTACTTGAAATTACGCTCTGGAAACTCTAATTTTATAAGGCAAGAAATCCTGAACAGATGTGAGTGAGACTTAAATATCAGCTGCTTTTGCTTTGTTTTCTTCCAAAGGAGTTTCTTTCAGGACTTTCCCTCTTTTCTTCTGATTGCTTGTACTGTCCTGTCATATGGTTGGTTTTGTATTTTTTCTCTCTTAACAGAGAATAAAATAAAATTTTCTACCACTTTAGTGCAGGCCCTCATCATCTCATGCATGGACTATTACTGGGTCTCTTCCCTGCTTCCCTACTCCCTTCCATCCTCCATTAAGGTGTCAGTGATTTTCCTGAAGTGCAGATCTGACCACGTCACCTCCATACTTAATAAATTCCAGGGGCTCTCTGTTACCTCCAGAATCAAATATAAAATCCTTTGTTTTACATTCAAATCCCTTCATACCTAGCCTTGTACCTGACTACTTTCCTCTCCCCACTATGCACTCTTCGATCCACCACTGGTCTCCTGACCATTCTCTGAATAAGACACTCTGTCTCTTAATCTGGGCATTTTCTCTGTTCCCCATGCCTGGAATCCTTTCCATCTTCACCTCTGCCTCTTGGTTTCCCTGCTTCTTTTCATTCCCAGAGATAATACTACAAGAAGCCTTTAAAATAAATATATTTTGGATTCTATTTAACATTTTATTTTTTCCCCCAATTACATGTAAAAACAATTTTAACATTCCTTTTTCAAATTTTGAGTTCTAAATTCTTTTCCTTCCTCCCTGTCCTCCCACCTATTGAGAAGGCAAGCAATTTGACATAACTTATACATGTAGTTATGCAAAACACGTTACCGTATAAGCGATGCTGTGAAAGAAAACACATACTCCCCCCAAAGAAACCCCAAGAAAAATAAAGAAAAGGTATCCTCGATAGGAAGCCTTTTCTAACTCCTCTTAATTCTAGTCTTTCTCTCTGTTATTTACTTCCTATTTTGTGTATTTTTTTTAAGAAAACATATTTGTTTGCTTCTTGTCATCCCCATTAGTATGTAACCTCTTGGAGGGCAGGAGCTATCTTTAGCCTCTCATTGTGTGCCCAGTGCTTAGCACAGTGCCTGGCACATAGTCTGCACTTAATAAGTGCTTATTAACTGATTGACTGAAAATAAACAGCAGCCTAGGTAACTGTAGACGTTAACCTACTCTGTCTTGACAAAATGTCAATGAGAATTGGTACATTTAATCCTTATGGTGTGACTGCTTGTGATTTTGCCACTCAGACCAATTTAGATAAATTGTTCTTTGTTCCACAAAGCGCTTTGCATCTGTTTGTCACATTCATGCATATCCATGATGGGAAATAGTAACGACACTAGAAATTTTAAATTTCTGTGTTAAATGTATTCTGCATTATATTAGGAAAATTGGATTATTAGCAGGGATAATCTTAAGAGTTTTGATATTCTGTTGCTCAACAAATGTTTATTGAATTTAAAAATAATAGGGAATTACTTCTTTAAAGTACATGTATTTCAGAAGTGCATTAATTAAAATATTTTTAATGTGTTTTATATTACTTTCATTTCTGAGCATACTTCATTTGCTTCTGCTCCCTAGTTCCTTCATAGAGGGAGTAGCATATTGAATTAGGTGAATTCAGCAGGCAAGAGGCAAGGATGCAGATAGAGCCATGGCTGTGTCCTGAGCAGAGGCACGTAGGTGGAAAGCTTCAGTTGTATGATGGGAATGACTAGATCTTAGGGTTAGGAATTTAGAGCTTGACATTGTCTCAAAGGCTACCTAATATATCCTTCTCATCTTAGAGAGGAGGAAACTGATGGCCAGGGAAGGTAAGTGACTTGCCCAAGGACTCACAGGCAGTAAGTGTAAGAGGCTGGATCTGAAATCAGACTGTCCAGTTTTGAACCTCCCTTTCTCAGAGAAACTCTTTGAAAAAGCTCTCTCTACTCAGTGCTTTTACTTCCCCTTTATTCAGTGTCTGCTAAGCTATCTACAGTCTGGCTCATATCTCATCACTCAACTGAAGTTAATCCTTCCAGAGTTATCAGTGGCCTTATAAATACCAAATCTAATGACCTCTCACTGTCTTCCTTGTTGACCTCTGTGCAGCCTTTGCTGCTGTCAGCCTCTCTTTCCCGGGCTCTGATGATACCACCCTCTCCTATTCTCCAGCCGTCTGATCATTCTGTCTCAGTGTTTTTTGCTAGTTTCATCCATTTTATGCCATCGAGTTGGTAGACACATTCCAGGGCTCTATCCTGGGCCCTCTTCTCTTTTCTTTCACTTAGTAACCTTGTCAGCTGCCTTGGATTCTAATGTTCTTAACTAACATCTGCATTTTTGTAGTTGGGAAAGACCAGCTTCTGATAAATGAAAAGTCATAATAAAAGCAATTATTATTATTATGGTCAATTTAGTCTTCTAAAGATATAATTTTCCTATTTAATATTAGTAGGAAGCAATTTATAAAGTCTAGATTGTATTATAGAGTGCTATTAATATTTTGTATTTAGATTATGAAGCTAAACGAGAAAGGAAGAAGGGAAAGAAGAAGGTAGACAGAGCAAGAGTCCACTGTTTTCTCAGGTGGTCTCAGGTCTTCTTACTTCTCTTGAGCTGAATGTCTCAAGAGAAGTTTAATTCTAGAGGCTTCTCTCGATTCCCATAGACTATGAGTCACTTTGGACCTCTGATGATCCAGCGTGGATGGCTAATTCAGCCAATGAGAAAGACAGTTTTATTTGGACTTCTCACCTCTTTAGCTTCCCTGTGTCCTCTCTTGCTTCATGCTGATTGCAGGTGATGCGTCTCCAGTATGAGTTACTAATGCTTTTTGGTTGGTTTTCTCCCTTACTCATTCTTTTTCCTGCCAGCTAATTCTTTACTTGTTTCTCTTCTCTTCTATTGAGTGGAAATTCTGGTTCTTACTCTTTCCTGGCCAATAACAGTGTGGTTGTAATGGAAAATAAAATTTATATTCGATTGTTTGCATTTAATACAACCTGCTTTCTTCTATAGACACTGCAGGCCCTTTCAAGCTACAACTTGAGATACAATTTTAAAATATTGTACATTATTTTATAGAGACTGTAAGAGATTTTCAAGGTTAGAAACATATAGCTCTGTAGCTGGAGAGAACCTGATGGGCCATCTTGTCTAATCTCATTGTATAGACGAGGAAACTGAGTCTGCTTAAGTGGAAAAACCAGAATTTGAACTTAGATTCTCTAACTCTGTAGTCGTTATTCCTTCTATTGCATCAAAATTATTTTGACTACATGCAATTTTGCCCTCCTCCACTAACTTTGGGATCTCTTTCCTCTGTGTCAGATTCTAGCATGCCAATATTGAGCGTAAAATGAATTGTATCCAAAGCAAAACTTGTTATTTTCCCCTTAAATCCTCTGCTCTTCCAGATTTTCATTTGTAGTTGTTGTTGTTGAGAGCACTTACCATCCTTCTCCTCGCCCAGGTTTGCATCTTTAGTGTCACTTTTAACTCCTCATTCTCACTTCACATGCTCAGTAAGCTCCCGTATCATGGCTTTTCCATTTCTACACTATTCATTCATTCATTCGTATACACACACACACACACACGTATGTATGTATGTATGTATGTATGTATGTATGTATGTATGTATGTAATTTTCTCCACTATAGTTCATGTTCTTTTTATCTGTATCATAAACCTAGACTATCACAATGATCTCTTATTTGCTCTCTCTACTTTAAATCTTTCTTTCCCATCCCTCTGCCCAAGTCCATCTTTCACACAGTGATTTTCCTAAAGCACAGATCTAACCACATCACTCCTCTACTAAGTAAACTCCAATAGATCCTTATTGTTTCTAGGATCCAATTCTCTTCTTCATTGAGCCTTTAAACTCCTCATAATCTGGCCCCTTCGTACTCTTCTAATCTCCTTATATCTTCCTTTCCTCTATGTGCTCTTCAATGCAGCTGTAGTGATGTACTTTCTGTTCCTCATATATGGCTTTTTGTTCTCCACCTGGCTTGCCTTCACTCTTAGAATGTTCTCTTTCCTTACTTCCCTTCTCAGAGTCCTTGGTTGTTTCCTTCAAGGAGATCTTTCCTTGGCCCTTCAGTTGCTCATGCCTTTCCATCCCAGGTTATCTTGTGTATTGTATGTGTCTTGTATAGACTGCATACATACATAGGGTCTCCCCTGAGAAGAAAGCTGGGTTGTGTAGTGGGGTTCTAAATTGATCTTAGATACCTACTAGCTGTGTGACCCTGGGCAAGTCATGTAGCCTCTGTTTGCCTCAGTTTCCTGTAATAACAACACCTACCTATAAGGGATGTTGTGAAGATCAAATGAAAGTATTTGAAAAGCTCATAGATCAGTGCCTAGGAAATAGGAGATGCTTAATAAATCCCTCTCTCCTTCCTTCCTTCCTTCTTTCCCTCCTCTCTCCTACTCTCCCTCTTTCCTTTCCTCAATATAAATTTCTTGAGGGCAGGGCTATCTCATTTTTCCTTTGTGTTGACAATGCCTAGAGGCTTAATAAATACTTATTTTTTGATTGATTGGGGGGTGTGTGTGTGTGTGTGTGTGTGTGTGTGTGTGTGTGTGTGTGTGTGTGTGTGTGTGTGTTTTTCTGATGGGCTTTGTCCTGATTTACTTTGTAGGCACACGAAGCAACTCTAGAAGCCAGAGGCAGTCCTGAGATGAATGATCGACTTCAGCAGTTAGAGAGAGAGATCACACAACATAGGGATGAATCCAGTAAGGCCCAGGCAGAGGTAGATCGTTTGCTGGAAATCTTAAAGGAGATGGAAAATGAGAAGAATGATAAAGATAAGAAGATAGCCGAGCTGGAGAGGTAAGGATGGATAAATTGGAAGTTGACTGATGAGGTCAGAATGGTTAAAGTATGGATTTGTAACTTTTTTGGGGGTGGGGGGTGGGAGTATAATTTGGGTAACTGGTTTTAGCTTTAACCACTTTAGTTCTTGACCTTGCTTTATTAATCTCCTTGTCATTCATTGGTTACTCTCATTTCTTGTAGTTTATTAGAGGTTACCACAGTGGTGAGCAAAGTAACAGGATGATGACATTATTTAGTAGAGTAAAAGGTAATTATTAATTCTAGAGTTTGAGCCTTGGTCAGTGAGATTACTAAGAGTTCATATAATTAATAGCCCAGATATTGAGAATATTTACTGTTGGAATGGACCTTATTAATTTAGTTATGTTTCCATTGAACTCTTAATTCTTGGGCTTTTCAAAGTGATGGATGTGCAGATAGTTCTATCACTGTAGACATCACAATTGATAGTTAAGAAAATTTAAATAACATTTGGATAAGATTTTATGGGCCTTTGACCATAAATCTAAGGTTTACGAGGTTTCTTCATAGGCCTATCCATAGAACGCATCCAGAATTTCCTTTGTTATTTTCTTTTGTCTTAGAGTATTTGAACACAGAGAATCTTCCTGCTTCTTGACCTTTTTATGGTCTTCATCACTTTTGCACATAGATATGTATGTGTAAAGCTTTTAATACCAGTTAATACCGATTATGTTAACTTTTGAACATCTTCCATTGGAACCTCTTCAAATGAAGAAGTTAATAGGTGCCAAAAGTAACTGCATATCTTGAAATACTGACAAGGGTTTAAAACTACTAGTATGTATAGCTATTATTGCCCAATTTTTAGGGGCCATTCGTTATCATTACTTTGAAAGCTCCTGGAACCATTCTGTAAATGTTAGGTCGTTTCCTTCCCCTTCCATTTCCCTTTACCATACCTCTTCCTTCTTCTCCCTTCTCACTTCTCTTCCCCCTCCCCGTCTCCCTTTCTTAGAAAATCCTGAGGCTTAGGTTTCCCAGATTTTTTTAATGCTTTATTCTATAGTCTTAGAATTTTAGATAAACTAACTCTCTCCCTCCCATCCCCCAGTCCCATAACTTTACATTTTCCATTATTGCAATGACCTCTGAAGTAGCTGAGATATATAACTGACTTCTCTAATAACTGCCTCCAATTTTGGTGTATTCAGCCGGACTGTATTTTCAAAGCCATAGTTACCTGAAATGTCCAAATTAGATTTTCTGTTTTCTTTTATCTTTTTTCTCCTTTCATTTGTGTGTGTCATATTTAGAATTATTGCCAAATATTTACTTAGTAAATTTTTATGAAAAAGCATTTTGATTTATTAGTGTACCCCATCTCAGCATGTGGTAGTGAGAATTATGTTAAAGAAAGTCTCACTGTGCTATTTAAAAAAAATAATACAACATTGCTTAAAAGTGTGTACTTTTTCTCATCTCTTTACTTGCAAAAAGAGAAAATAAATTCAGTATTTCACCCTAGTGCTCGCTTGGGGATTTAGGTGTAATTTTGAAAAGGAGTAAATTGTAGTTTGTTAGGTAGAATTGTGGCCAGTGGCAGCTTTTGTTAGCCATTATAATTCACCCATTTGAGGAAAAACTATAAATTTCCCACTCTTTACTCAGAATATGACTTGAAAGGCTACTGAAATTGTGGGCCCTTTTGCCCTTTCAGGCACATGCTGCTACATTTTTGTAGTATATAATCCAAAAATTTTTAACCCTTTAAAAAGTTATATTTCTCTGTTTCACAACCATATTATTTCTTTTGTATCATGGTCACAGATGGGAACAGATTATAGAAATTTAGAAGTTCAGGAGACTTTATAGATCAACTCCTTTTGCCAGTGAGGAAGTGGAGACAAGGGTAAAATGATTTGTCTGTACTTAGTCATTGGTGAAACAAGGATTAACAACTCTTCCCATTCCACTAAGACCATGTGTTTTGCAGGATTTAGTGGTAGTTATCTTTCAGACTTTTTCTGTCTGTATGGATCTGGTACCTTGATCCTAGCTTAAAACCATTATACTGTATGAATGTGGTATTTTTTGTTACTCAAGATTTTGTCTGTTCTAGAGAAAACATTTTAGCTTACATGTCTCAAAGAACCTTGATCTTTGATGGAGACTGTTTAAATCTTTCCTTATACTTATGTAGTGCTTTATATGTGGGAGAACTATTAGGAAGAGTGTATACTTTTCTTTGCCTGTTACATTATTGAGGTGCATGTATGGCTGTTTATTTTTCTTCAACCCATTTACTTTTTTATTGCCATTCCTCTTTTTACTATGTGTTGGTGTGACTTTCTCCATAATTTATTTTTTAAATTTCCTCACATTTCCATCCACTGGTTCCATTCTTGTGGTGTATATGGTTTTTCTCTTAGTTGTGCTGTTTCTCAGAAGGCTGATCTTCCACAGATTGTATCTCCCATATCAGGTGCTGGTTTTCATTGTGAGTAGAGTTTGTTTGGGATGTGCCAGGAAAGTCAATGTTACATAAACTTTCTTATTGTTCTGAATTGCTACTATTGCTCTTGCGGTGCTTGCTGGTAATTGGCTTAAATAAAATAAAAGAGCAACTGGTTATGTTAAGTAAATCTTTAACTTTTCCTAATTCTGACCTGATTTTGGACAAATTCACTTGTGTGGTACATTCTACTGTGGTTTAAATATTGTCAATTTCACTTGTCTACATTCTTTCTGTTCTTTACTCTTATTTATTCTACTTTTATTGTTCTCTTTCAGTGCCATGCTGACAATTTCCAGTTACATTTTCAATGCCAAAAGTTAACTTGATGTACTTCATTCCAGTAAGGCAGTTGTTTCAGGGAGACTTGCTCACATTACTCTTAGAGTTATAGATGGTTCTCAGGAATAAGAACATTTTCACAATACATTAAAAAGAACTGTGTTAAGTCTGTAAGCACTAAAAATGCTTAGTGTTAATTTGTGTTTATAACATTTTTTTTTCCATATCAGGGTTTGCAAATATTTGACCTGCATTACAATGTGCATACCTTTAGAGAGAGAAATGAATGTTCTCTTATTTTAGATGACTTCACATAATGGACATTTTCGTATAGAATATCAAGAGGAAGACCTACCTACCTCTGCTTCTATCTAGTTTCAATTTTACATATAAGTGTAAATGTCCATGCCTGTTTTTAATGGTTTCACTATAATTAAAAGAAAGCAAGGTTATTTCTTTAAATAAAAAATAGCACAGTGTTATAGTATCATAGATTTACAGCTGCAACTTACCTCAGTACAAGTTCCCATTTTGCAGATGAGAAAACTGAAATCCAGAGAAATTAAGTGACTTTCCCAGATAAAATGTCTGGAATACCTGGTCCTTCAAGTCAGGAATACCTGGGTTCAAATTTTGCTTCTATGACAGAGCCACTGACCCTCTACCTTTATTACCTCCCTCACAAGATTATTGTAGGGTTACAAGGAAAGTATTCACTCATTTTTTTCATATTCAACAAGAATTTATTAAGCACCTAGCATGACCCTAGAATTGTGCCAGATAATAATGACACAGCCCCTCCCCTTGCAAAGTTTGCGTTTTATTGCAAGGAAATAAAATGTATATAGAGAAGTTAATAGGAAATATATACAAAGTGAAAACCACAAGGAGTTCTAGGTTTGGGGAACAAGATGAGTAGCAGCTGGCACTTGAACTTAGCCTTGAAGAAAGTTAGGGATTGAATGATATAATGGAGGTGAAGGAGTACTCTGCAGGGGTGGGAGCCTGCCTGTGCTAAGGCATGGTCAGAGGGATGTCCTATATGGGAAGTAAGCCAGTTTGATACATGTTTATTTACTTGCCTCCCTTACTAGATTGTGAGCTCTTTGAGGGCAGAGGCATCTTTTGCTTCTTATTTGTATTTTTAGTGTTGAAAGCACCTGGCACATAGTAAGCACTTAAATGTTTATTGACTGATTAGCTATGAATAAAGGAAACCGTATGCCAAGAATGAAAAACTTTAATTTTTGTCAGGCACAAAAGAAGTGAATTCCTCAGCATGTGCCATTCATATCAGATTTATACCATAAAACACATTTACCTTTTCAAAAAATCTTCAGTGATGTAGTTTATTAAATACTGATATGAGGTAGTATTTACTTTTTTGAAGATCCATTTGAGGTGATGGATGAAATTATTAGTACTTTCGTCCTTTTCTACTTTCCCTTCCGACTATTCAGTGAATTAATAAGTAGTCTTATGTTTGGGAATGGCACTTTGTATTCTGCCTCTAACTGCACTGATTGAAGGAAATAAAGATTATGATTTGCATCATAGTCACTTGAGGAGTTGTGGTTTGTCCATAATTCTTGTATCTTCCTGTAAAAACCAGACCACGTTGTTTTTTGATGCAGTAATACTTGTCTATGAAATACTGTCGTATCTTTTCTTAGCATTCCTGTTCTTTGAAGTCATTGTTTCCAAGTCAGGAGGTGGTGAGATACATACACTTTAAAAGTTTCTGTAGCTTTGGATGAAATGGGCAGAAACAAAGCCCAAGTAGTGCTTGACATTGGTAAATAAGCTCCAGTCTTCCCTTTCTTCTTTAAGAAGCTCTACTTATTATTTTTTTTCTTTTTTGTGTTAATAGGTAATGATAAGCCTTAAGGGCTTTGTGCTCTTCAGGAACTTAGAAACAGGCTACACTGTAATTTGGGTCTTGAGCACCATAGAGGAAGAAGTATGAATATATAAAAAGATAGACCAAGGATGGGGAACCTGCAGCCTCAAGGCTACATGTTGCCTTCTAGGTCCTTGGATGTGGCCTTTTGACTGAGTTAAAGTTTTATAGAATAATTCCTTTTATTAAGGAGATTTGTTCCGTGCAGTGTGGATTCAGCCAAAAGGCCATTTTTGTTTTTAGATTTTACTTTATGAGGTATATTTTGACAAATGTGAGGTCAGCAGTATAGGAAGAAATGAAAAAAAAATTCTTCTTACATTTGGATAAAATGAATTTTCATTTGAAATTTTTAGAGAGAAACTAGATTTTTTTCCTACTGTCTTTTACAGCTTAATGGAAACACAATATTATATTAACATTTTTCTGTCTTATGTCAGATAATTTGGAACATTTTCAGATGAGAGGCTTGTAAAAACTTAGTCTTAGGCACCAGGGGAATAATCTTTTGTAAGGAATTGTCAAGTGGCTTTGTCTTTAAATTAAATACAGCCACATTTTCACATATTTAATTACTAATTCTGAAGGAGAAGTGGTCAGTTTCCATATGCAATTGATTTCAGATAGAACTCTTGCTGGAGAAATTCATATTGATGTAGAATAGTATAATCTGATCAGAAAGTACTTTTGAAAATCTGGCACATAGTAATTGCTTTATAAATGCTTATTAATTGATTGGTATAACCCATGGTGAACTTCTTTCTTTTTCTTTAATGCTGTGTTTCATGTTTTGTCTTCTGTTCTTCAGTAGTATAATCTCTGAACAGTAATCTTATTAATTCTTTGTAACTTTCTCTTTCGCATCTTCCTGGATATGCTGTTCCCTTCAGTCTCACCTCCAGGTCAGTATGTCCTTTTAAAAATAATTATGTTTAAAATACCATGTACTAATTTTATCTTGAGTTCTGAAATGAAACTGGAATAATACAGTTTATTTGAGGAAAGATATCCAAGAATTCAGTCCAGAGGATGTAATATTCTCAAATCTATGAGCTTTATAAGTATAGAATTTTTAAATAACTCAACAGGAGATTTCTCTTCTTCAGAGAGTGTGTCTGTGTGTCTGTCTTTCTGTGTGTTTTGAGAGTTATTATCTGACCAATCCATGGGAGATTATTTCGGTTTTTTTTTCCCCTCCCTTCTTTAAATTGACATGGAATTGGTAAGGAAGAATATGGTCCATCAGAGGAACAGTACATAATGAAATTAAAACTTTTTTTCCCCCTTTTCCTTAAGTAGTCATTAGGCTCTTATCTATTAACAAGAGAAAGTATGGTACTTGTATGGAGATTCTCTTGATTTGTTTGATAATTGCTGTCACCCAAAAACATATATTTCTTCTGCTATTTGTAATTTCTTTTGCTTTATGGATTTTGCTGTATCTTAGAAGTTTCTATTTCAGTGTGGTAGCTAACATTGCACTCTTAGTATTGTTAGTTTATGTCCTCTTGATATTTCTACTACAACCTATGTGTGGTAAGGGACAAGAAATAGAAGAAGGAAGGGGAGGGGAAATAGCCCAGAATGATCACTGAAAAAATGATATTGATGTCCATACAGTTCCAAATCTCTTTTGAGTAATAGTTCCACTAAAAACTGTCAAATACATTGCCCACAGTTCACATGCAGACCACAACACTCCTGAGTGTGGCCTAAACCAGATTAAAATGTAATTGGAAAATATTTAACTAAATAAAAACACATAGGTAATATGTATAGATAGATAATGTTAAAATGTGATTTTTTGAAGGAATATGTGCATGTGGAAATCCTTATGGGGATTCCCCCTTCAGGGAGGTCTCTTCCTTAGTCATTGCTGGCAGGATTCTTGCCAGAGTCCTCTTAATCAGCTGATTCTCCACCTGGAAGATGGTCATTGACTTGAGAGCCAGTGTGGCTTCAGAAAGGGCTGAGAAATGGTTTCATGATGGCATGCTTTCATGGGTTCTGGATAATGGACGATGCTCTTGTGCTTTGCCAGTCACCAGTGGAGTGAAACACAGGCTGTGTGCTTGCTCCCATGCTTCTTAGCATGATTTTTTACCAGTGTTGTCAAGCACTTTCAACAAGGACAAGAATGACATCCAGATCAGCCCCTATACTGACAGTAAATTACTGAAGTAGAGGGAGAGTTGGTATATGATATTTTGTTTGCAGATGATTGTGCGCTCAATGCAGTTTCTGAGGCCGAGATGCAACAAAGTACAGATAATTCTCTATTGCTTCTTCTCATTTTGGCCTAACAGTTAACACTAAGAAAACACAGGTTCTCCACCAGCCAGCACCACACCACTCATATGTGGAACCATCAGTTACAGCAAATGGAGAACTATTGAAGGCAATGGATATGTTCACTTATCTTGGCAGTATACGTTCCAGGGATGTCCACGTGGATGATAAAGTTGAGCTAGCTCAGTGTTTGGGATTCTCCAAAAGAAAGTGAGGGAGAGAAGAGGTATTAGACTGACTACCAGACTGAAGATCTACAGAGCTGTTGTGCTGACCTCATTGTTGTATGCCTGTGAAACCTGGACAGTATACCAGCACCATGGCAAGAAACTGAATTGCTTCTATTTGTATTATCTGAGGGAGATTCTGAAGATCACCCAGCAAGATAAAATACAAGACACCAAGGTGCTTTCTCAAGCTGAACTGCCAAGTATTCAAACTCTGCTGCAGAGAGTGTGACTCTGATGGACTGGCCCTGTTGTTTGAGTGCCAAATGTACATTTGCCTAAAAGCCCATTTTACAGAAAATTCTCACAAGGAAGGTGTTCACAGCTCACATGCAACAAAGTATGAATTGATTTCTTTGCTACTTGTGCTAATTTTGGCTTAACAATTAACACCAAGAAAACACATAGATGACAAGGTTGCTGCACACATTGCCAGAGCTAGTTCAGTGTTTGGAAGGCCCTGAAGAAACGTGTGGGAAAAAAGAGGTGTTGGACTTCCATTTAAATTGTCTTAGGAATATTCTGAAGATCCCCTGGCAAGATGAGGTACTGTTCACTGATGTCCTTTCTTGAGCTAAACTCCCCTGGGCTGGTCATGTTGTTCGAATGCCAAATGTAAGTTTGCCTAAAAGACTATTTTACACAGAACTCCCACAAGGAAGGTACTCATATGGTGGTCAGAAGAATCAATACAAGGAAACTTTCAAGGTCTCTCTGAAGAACTTCAGAATTGATTATGTGACATGGGAGACACTGGAAAAGGACCATCCAGCATGATGTGCCCGCCATCACAAAAGGCACTGTGCTCTGTGAGTGAAGCAGAATTACAGTACCTCAAAAGAGTGAGATGCATAAATTGAGAGACATCTCTACTGCAAATGTTCATGTGGACAATTTGTGCCTGACCTGAAATAGAGTCTTTTGAGTTCATTGTGGTCCAATCAGCCATAGTTGGACACACTGTACCTTGACCCCAACATAGTGATGTCATTTTGGTCCTCTTTGAGAACGAAGGACAACAGCCAATGTGCTTGTAGTAATCCTTATGTGTAGTTTAGTGGTCTCTGATTCTGTTTGACCCCATTGCTTTGTAGGATATCTGTCCTTATTAATCTTTGTAATTTTTTGTTCAGTCGTTTTTCAGTCATGTCCAACTTTTCATGACACATTTGGGGTTTTCTTAGCAAAGATACTGGAATGGTTTGCCATTTCTTTCTCCAGCTTATTTTATAGATGAAGAGCTGAGGTAAACAGGGTTAAGTGACTTGCCCAGGGTCACACAACTAGTAAGTGTCTTTGGCCGGATTTGATCTCCTAAAGATAAGTCTTTTTGACTCCAGGACCAGGGCTCTTATCTGCTGTGCCACCCACCTTCCCATAATCTTTGTTAACCTTCTTATGAATAATCACTTTTACCTGGCACCTTTTGCAACAGGTCTCTTAACTAGCCTTTCACTCTTACTACTGCTTACTATTTCTCTAGTTTAATACTTTAAATTTGTAACGCCAGAGGAGTAACATAGTTAGACTGGGAAAAAAATTACAGAATATTAAGAAAAAGGATTAGTGTAGTACACCCAAAGCTGATCATTCAAAAATGACTTTTATCTATGATATAGTTTTTGATACTATGTTGGCAGATTTGCAGAAGGTACAAATGACGTGATTATTACAAGTTTGAAACAAGGAAATAGTTAACTTTAAATGAACAAATATGGAATTAGGACACTACTCCATCTATTATGAAATAACCTATTGGCATATTACATCCTTTTCATTTCAGATTTAATTATCTGTAATATCTGAAGGTAATTTATCTACAGAAATTGTAAGTAAATCAAAACAAGTCCAAAATTTTATCTCACTCCTAACAAACTGGGTGCCTAAAGATGGAAATAGTCAATATTGCAGAGACAGAAAGACGAGAATACTAATACATTGTTGGTGGAGACACAGTTTGGTCCAATCATTTTGAAAAGCAATTTTTAATTATGGTAAGAAAATGATTTCAATTTCCTCACCCTTTCCCCAGAGATTACATTTCTAAGCATATGGAATGTCAAAGAATATTGATAGGTTAACTTGAAGGGGAAAAAAATTATTTCTTCAACAAAATGATCAGAGCTAAAGAGTTAACTTAATTCTACTAGTTAAAAGTTGATGCCTTCTATTTTAAGAAGTCTTTTAATACAAATAAAATATTCTGCAGTTCTTCTTTACTAAAAATGCATCCTAATCCTTAGGAAAAAGTCAAGGAAAAAACCAAAACATGTCTGTCTTGTGGTAGTTAAGTAGAAAAACTCTTGAGTTATGTAATTTGGACCTTTATCACAGTCAGGTGTCAGAAAAGAATGCTCATAAGACAGTACAAAATTTCAATCTTTTATTTCTTGTTCAAACTAATAGTGCAGAGTAAATGTATCACTAAGTTCAATATATAAAAAAGCCCAAATATCTTCTTTACATTTGTAAATCTGACTCTAAATGTTTACTTTGCTTAGGTTTGTTTTCATTGTCATGAAACATGTATGAATAAATGAATATACATTTGTGTACGTTGATATAATTTATGAATGAATGAAAAAAACATTGTCAAAGCTCTTACTATATGCTGTGCACTGGGCTTAGCTAGTGATACAAAAACAAAAAGAAGGTAATCATTGCCCTCGAGAAGCTTACATTATAATGGGAGGAGAACAAAGGTTAGAAAGTAATGCCTAGGGAGAGTGGTATTTTGGTTTGGAATATTAGGAGGCTTATTTGAGTGCTGTCATGAGGTATTCAAAGTTCATCCTTTCTAGGAACAATGACTATAATGATCTGACAGTGGTTGAAGAATATGAAAGTTAGTGGGAGAGAGGTTGGTGTAGCAGCTAGGGGCTGGCAAAAGATGTCAGGAGAGTAAAAATAAAACATGACTGGAGCAACTAGCTTGATATATTTGGACAGTTGTGGAACACCAGTCTTCCCATGGAAAGATTACCTCAGGTGAAAGGATTAATTCTTTCAGGTATGGTCTGTTGATGTAGGCATCATGGTGGGGAGGGGGAGAGATTGAGATTGTGGGAGAGAGAGACTTGCTGACATATTGAGCTTGTAGTTCAGTTTCATGGCTTTAGAAAAAAAAATGAATAAAAACCATGGAAAATCTTTAATGAGATGGGAATACCAGATCATATTATTTGTCTCCTGCGGAACCTGGTGTGGGTCAAGAATCAGCAGTTAGAACCAAACATGGAACAATGCATTGGCTTAAGATTGGAAAAGGAGTATGACAGGACTTTATATTGTCACCCTATTTATTTAACTCATATGCAGAGTACATCATGCAAAATGCCAGGCTGGGTGAATCAAAAGCCAGAATGAAGGTTGCTTGGAGAAATATC